AGGAGGAGGAGGAGGAGGAGGAGGAGGAGGGGGAGGATGAGGCGGAGGAGGAGGAGGAGAAGGATGTATTGCTGATTCAAGCCGGCCCCGCCCGCAGCACTGCCCCTCAGGTGTGCGCCACGGCCGACGCGCTGCTGCTGCCGGTGCCCCCGGCAGTTTCCCGAAAACTTTCAGCAGTTTCGGGGAGTCTCCACGTAGTCGTCAATGTTGGACCTACAGGCGCGAGGCCTGACCCTAGGGCATGCCTGCAGCACGTAGAATGAATTCATCCGTCACGAAACGCATCTGATGCGTTCTTGATGCCAATCTATGGACGTGTGTATACATATGTTTATGAGACATACCTCAAGACACGTGCCTTGCGCTGTGTATGATCCTTTCGTACCAACAGACGCAACTGCAGCTAATGTAGTCGACAATGCTCGACAGGTTCCAGAAGTTGTCGGACGTTTTCGAGGCCCGGGGTGGTTCCCATCAGCTGTGCCTCGTCGAGAGCGTTCCGGGGGTGTCCGAATCGTCCCGAACGGCCGCTGGAGGGCTGAGTTATGACCCAGAAGCCAGGGGGCAGCGCGCGCACCAGCGAGGAATAAGCACCGATGCTGGTACCCGTCCTTCGTCATCGCCTTTTGGGACTCCTGGGAGGCCCTCGTCGCCACGGCTGGATTCGCTTCGAACGCTGGGTCAGAACGCACCCTGGGAGAGGCCCCGGGGCCTCCTGTTTCGCCCTGATTCTCTGGCCTCCTCTTGTTTCTTCTCCTTCCTTCCTTCTCCCGCCTTCTCCTCGTTCTCCTCGTTCTCATCCTCCTTCTCCTCCCTTCTCCCTCCTCCTCTCCTCGTTCTCTGCTCTCCTCCTCGCTCCTCCCTCCTGGTCTCCTTCCTCCTTCTCCTCCTTCCTTCTTCCTCCTCCTGGTCTTTTTCTTCCCCTCTTCTTACGCCCCCCTCCCCTGCACCTCCTCCCTCCCTCTCCCTCTCCCTCTCCCTCTCCCTCCTCCTCCTCCTCCTCCTCCTCCTCCTCCTCCTCCTCCTCCTCCTCCTCCTCCTCCTCCTCCTCTTGCCCTCCCTGCTCCCTCCTCCTCTCCTCGATCTCCTCTTCTTCTCCCTCCCTTCTCCTCTAGCGCGCTGCCCTGGGGCCCCCCAGGTGTGTGCCGCCGCGCGTTGCCCTGCGGACCCAGAGGAGCGCCACGACGAGGCCCCAGGGTGATGGGGAGTGGAGGGTCAGAGAGGCAGTTATCGTTAAGTCGGGCATGTCCCTCTACAGGGGGAGTCATGAAAGACAGTAACAATCATAGACTGGAGACGGTGTTCCTCTATTTTTGACTATTTGGAAGTATTTTTGGGGCAGCGTTTAAGGGGGGACAGGCTCCAGAGCAACGGGGTGCAGTGAGGGCAGGTAGGACGTTTTCGGGGCGCAGGGTTTTCGTAATTTCCAGCGGTCCCTGGGCGTTTTCAAGCCTCGGGGGTGCGCTCCAGCAGCTGCGCCTCGCCGAGGGCGTTCCAGGGGTGCCCGGATCGCCTCGAACGGCCGCCAGAGAGCCGAGCTGTGACCCGAAAGCCAAGGGGCCACTCTGGGGGGGGGGTATAGACTCGGAGTGAGATGCATCGACCCGCAATCGACTGCGCATTGCCGATGGTCGAATAACCAAGAAGGGCATAAACGTGTAAACTTTCGGCGCGCGGGTTCCATGGATCTGCGCTGGGACCCCTGGCGGCGCCTGCTGCGCCAGCCCGGGCGCGCTCCGCTCCGCGCGCCAGGGGGGGGGGAGCCGGCGCAGCTCCAAGAACCCCGTTTGGTCCAAGAGTTCGTGCTCATGCCGTTTTGCTGTTCCTCTTTTCACCACCGCCTACCAAACCAGGGCTGAACCTAAACGGTGTTTCTACCTAACAGCGAAGACTGATAGGTTTCCCATAGGGTCAAAAGAGAGAGTATCATGACTCCCCAGGGGGGTCTGGGCGGCATCCGGACAGGGATCCGCGGAAGTCGTTTTAAGCAAACAGATGCACACTTCGTGGTCTTCGAGGTCCCAGAACTCCATTCCCGGGCTACATTCTGAATGCCCGGAGCCAATTGTAGGCTTCTTCGTGCTCTTCCAGTTCCCAGAACTCCATTCACGGGCCACATTTTGAATGCCCGGAGCCAATTGTAGGCCACTTCGTGGTCTTCGAGTTCCCAGATCTCCATTCCTGGGCATGATTTTGAATGCCTGGAGTCAACTGTAGGCCACTTCGTGTTCTTCGGTTCTCAGAACTCCATTCCTGGGCATGATTTTGAATGCCCGGAGCCAACTGTAAGCCACTTCGTGTTCTTCGAGCTCCCAAAACTCCACTCCCGGGCAACATTTTGAATGCTGAGGCAGGCTGAGGCTGAGGCTGAGGAGGCTGACTGAGGCGGCTGAGGCTGAGGCCGAGGGTGAAGCGAGCGTCAGAGGCTGAGGCTGAGGCAGGCAGACTGAGGCTGAAGCTGAAGCAGGCTGAGGCTGAGGCTGAGGCAGGCTGAGGCTGAGGCTGAGGCTGAGGCAGGCTGATGAGGCTGAGGCAGGCTGAGGCTGAGATGCTGAGGCTGAGGCTGAGGCTGAGGCTGAGGCTGAGGCTGAGGCAGGCTGAGGCTGGAGGCTGAGGCAGGCTGAGGCTGATGCTGAGGCTGAGGCAGGCTGAGGCTGAGGCCGAGGCTGAAGGCAGACTGAGGCTGAGGCTGAAGGCTGAGGCTGAGGCTGAGGCAGAGGCAGGCTGAGGCTGAGGCTGAGGCAGGCTGATGCTGAGGCAGGCTGAGGCTGAGGCTGAGGCTGATGCAGGCTGAGGCTGAGGCAGGCTGAGGCTGAGGCCGAGGCTGAAGGCAGGCTGATGCTGAGGCTGAAGCAGGCTGAGGCTGAGGCTGAGGCATGCTGAGGCAGAGGCAGGCTGAGGCTGAGGCTGAGGCAGGCTGAGGCTGAGGCTGTGACTGCGACTGCCGTTGCCACTGCGACTGTCATCGCGAATGCGACTACGAATGCGAAAGCAGAATTCTACAACTGGATTCTCATCTGATTCTCAAGGGGAATGCTTCCAGATATGCTTCTACACATCGCTGTTAGGTTGCTTTGCCGGGATAATTTGTTTTCGTTTTGTTTTCGTTTTCCCTCGTGTTGTCTCCAATCCGCCTTTAACGCAAAACGAAATCGAAACGAACACGGCCCACGAAATCGCCAAAACACCGTTTAGGTCCACCCCTGCACCAAACCATCCCAACCTAACCCGAAGGCCCCGACTTGCCCTCCACATCCGGTCGGGGGGGGGGGGGTCGGGGAACATCGGAAAACACATGTGAATCCCGTACCCCCCCCCAGCCCGAGATTCGGGCGAAATTCGGGCCTTCGGGTTGGGCTGGGGTGGTCTGGTAGGTAGTCATTTCACTGGGATGCCCGAAATGGGCACGGAAACAATGTGCACAATGCCCAACAGCAAATGTTTTCCCGAACCGACAGCGGCCGCTCTTGGGCAGGCGGCCTTCGGTCTGACATGTACACGGGCCGCGGCGACACCGACGGCGAATCCTGTTCAAAATGAACAGGAACTGCTGTTGTTACCAGCCTCGAACGTATCCCTATCCCTAAGATTGACACGCCCAAAGGCGATGACAATCTTAGGGATCCGCCCTCAAAACATAAGGGAATCCCTAAGATTGGCATCGTGATGAGGGGGTGCCCAGCATAGGGATAGGGATACGTTCCAGGCTGGTAATGTTGGGCATTGTACCCCTCCTCTCCGCACCCACGTCGGTCGTCCCGATGTCCGGGGGAGGGTATCGGCCCCGAGGGGCACTGCACCGAGCCGACCCGCAGCCCACCTGCGCACTGCCGCCAGGGGGCGGGGTGCCGGCCGCGCCCGGGGCACGGGCGCAGGCCGCAGGGCCCGTCGCCGATGCGGCGGCTGTGTCTCGCCGACTCCGGCTCGAGGCTCCCCTCCTCCTCGTCCTCGTGCCCGCCGCAGGCGCCGCAGTCTCACAGATTATACAACGAGCCCGCCGCAGGCGCCGATCTTTTCTTCGAGCCAACATGCATCGGTCGCGGGTGGGTCGCGGGTGTGTCGCAGGCGGGTCGCGGGGTGGGTCGCGAGGTGGGTGGCGGGTGGGTCGCAAGTGGGTCGCGGGTGGGTCGCGGGTGGGTTGCGGATGTGTCGCGGGGCAGTTCGCGGGTGGGTCGCAGGGTGGGTCGCGGGTGGGTAGCGGGTGGATCGCGGGTGGGTCGCGGGGTCGGTCGCGGGTTTGGTCGCGGGTTTGGTCGCGGGTGGGTCGCGGGGTGGGTCGCGGGGTGGGTCGCGGGGTGGGTCGCGGGGTGTGTCGCGTGGTGGGTCGCGGGGTGGGTCGCGGGGGGGACGACGACAACAAACAGCAACAGCAACAGCAACAGCAACAGCAACAGCAACAGCAACAGCAACCACAACCACAACCACAACCACAACCACAACAACAACAACAACAACAACAACAACAACAACAACAACAACAACAACAACAACAACAACAACAACGCAACAAGCACAATCCGTAGCCATTTGGGCTCAAGCCGCTTTTGCTCAAGCCGTGCTGGCCAGAGGCAGGGCTCGCCCAGGGCAAGCGGACGGGCACAGGCCTGGAGACTGGCGTGGCCGACATGGCCGAGCTCACCGGAGCGCAGCTGCAGCGGACCTGTGCGCCGCTGTACCCGTCCTTCGCACTGGAGTCGTTCGCCGCCCTGCTCCTCTTCTTCTTCTTCCTCTACCTGTCCATCATCATCTCGACCAGGCAGCAGCTCAAGACGCCGGGGAAGTCGATAGCCAAGCTCATCTGGTTCAACCTCACGGGCTGGTGGGAGGACACGGTCAGAGTGCTCAGCAGGTGGAGTGAGATGGGTGAGATGTCGATGCCCAAGCGTTTACGGTTTTGCCGGAGGTTGAACGCGACGATTTGCCGGTCGCAGGCCGTCATCGCGCTCTTGGCCGTGACCCGATGGTTGCACATCAACAACGTCAACGGCTTCCGGTACCTGGGCTACGCCTTCACATGCCCCCTGATGCAGGCCGAGCTCATCCTGATCATCGCGCCGATCGTGCCGTGCTACAGGATGGTGACGCAGATGACTGCCATTATTACTTTCCTGATGCTGCTGTCTGGGTACATCGCGTCCCAGTTTGATGGGCCGCTGTGGGACGGCGACCTCGTTCTCGACAGGAACCTCAGCTTCCTCACCATTAAAGGCTGGGTAACGCTCCCGAGCATGGTCATCCTGCTATTCCTCTCCTTTGTTCAGATCCCCGTCCTGGGCCTGCTGTACTGCTGGAACGGCGGTGGCCGCGACGGCAAATTCCCGGCTGGTTACCTGACGCTTTTGGCGATCACGTCCGTCACGTGGCTCCTCTTCCCCATTTGGTGGTTTCTGTCCTTTGAGGGCGAGGGCTACATCCAGGACACCAAGCTCAACGGCGCTGGCTTCGCTCTCCTCAACATGACCAGCAAGGGTGCGTTCACGATGCAGATGCTGTCCATGGTCAAGCGGTGGAAGCGCGACTTCGGGCCGAGCAGCTTTGGGCGGCAGACCTCGGTAGACTCCGCCGTCGCGGACCTCCAGAACCTCTCACCCCGCAGCAACAAGACCGAGAAGTCTGCGGACTGGATCATCAATGGCCTGAAGACGTTCGATCAGGGCAGCGACAATTCGCTGGATAAGGTCCCAGGTCTGGGCCCCGAGGCGCAGGCGCCGCCACCAGCCGAGAAGACGATTGTCCTCGACACGACCTGCCTGAGCGATGAGGTGCTTGTCGCGGAGCTGGCGAGGAGGATCAACCTGAGCAGCGTGGGCAACACCGACCACATCGTCGGCAAGCCCCTCGACCCTGATGAGCTCTTCGCGCAGGCGCTGGACAAAGAGATACGAATGGCGTGCTCGAAGTTCGCCATTGAGGACGACGATGAGGACGACGAGGAATGAGAAGGCGGTCGGTCACACCTCGGGGCTCCGTTTGTCCGGGAGCGCCACATCGACCATGGTTCAGAACATTTTTTTATATTTTTCAAGAGCGAGCTAACGTTAAGTCGGGCGTGTCCCTCTACAGGAGGAGTATCCAAAAATAGTCAAGCATTGCATGAGTTTTTTTTGGGGGGGCATGTGTTGCTTAAAAGAAAATCTCTTCCAACATTCTCCTGGAGGAGGACGCGCCCGACCTACAGCTCGCGAATTC